ATTTCCTCGATAAGAGTACATATACTTTTATATCGACAAAACTATTTGATTATAAATATTTTCAAATAATAAATATTTTTCCTATAAGTATGTGTTGTTCATGATTTTGAATGAATCGATGCCTTTTGAAAACATATTCAAGCGGTTATACCTGTATTGCAAAATTAGTTTGTCTCCTTTTTTTTATTATTTCACGTAAAATGTTTGTTCAGGTTTTTCAATAGTATAGCGATTCTCATGTTTATAGTGGCGATCAGTATAGTTCTGAACAAACTTGAGTTCAATAGAGTGATCGCACCGTTAGGTTTTGTTATTAAGTTTTGTTATTAAGTTTATACGACTTTTAGTTGTAATGATAAAAAGCGTCCGAAAAATATGAGCGTTTGAGTCAATCCTTATCGGATAGCGAACAGAGAGCACAGACTCAATGAGAGTGAGAGTCAGTGGCAAACATCCGCTTTTTGTATCCGTTTGCTGTATAATCACCACATAATATAGTTTTGTCATATTATTGTTAATACGGCTTAAAAAAGTTTTTTCAATCCAATTATGTGTTTGAGAGTGAGAGTCAGTGGCAAACATCCGCTTTTTGTATCCGTTTGCTGTATAATCACCACATAATATAGTTTTGTCATATTATTGTTAATACGGCTTAAAAAAGCTTTTTCAATCCAATTATGTGTTTTCAACACTTTTACCAAAGTTTTAATTTTAATAAAACTGTGGTTTTGATTATAAAATGAATATTTTCTTAACGTATCACAAAAGTTCAAAACTCTTTTGTTGTATAATAAGTNCTCTTTTGTTGTATAATAAGTCACTTAATGTGTGATAACTCGTGAAACTATGCAAAACATGTATTTGAATGCCATAATGAGTTTGTTCTCCATCTCCAGTACTGTTAGTGTATTGACTGGATTCCAGACACCGCCGCCTAAGTTGACCCTATTATCCCCGGCCATGAATGGCGACACCATTGATATTATGGCAAATACTAGTCTTCATCTGAAGTGTACGGGCGATAAGCCCATGTTCTGGCAGTTTCCCAATAATAATCCGGTAAATGACAGTTAATTAGTTTTGCAAACACAAAGCTTATCCTTTTTACAGTAAAAATAAAAAATATAACATACATGACAAACAAAGTAAAAATATTTTCTAACTAAATGAATACAATTCTGCACTAAATATTACAAAATTAAAAAATAGTTTTGAAAATAAATTTAAAACATTTAATTATAAATATGATCGCATGGATTATACGGATGCTCAGCAGTACGACCCCGTGTCAAAAGTGGCACAAATTAGGAGCAAATGTGATGACAACCAGCACTTAAAGTGTGTGACAGATGTAGTCATACCTGAAGTTAATTATGAAATGACCGGTTATAATACTAGTCTTCATCTGAAGTGTACGGGCGATAAGCCCATGTTCTGGCAGTTTCCCAATAATAATCCGGTAAATGACAGTTAATTAGTTTTGCCAACACAAAGCTTATCCTTTTTACAGTAAAAAATTAAAAATATAACGCACATGACAAACAACGTAAAAATATTTTCTAACTGAATGAATACAATTCTGCAGTAAATATTACAAAATTAAAAAATAGTTTTGAAAATAAATTTAAAACATTTAATTATAAATATGATTGCATGGATTATCCGGATGCTCAGCAGTACGACCCCGTGTCAAAAGTGGCACAAATTAGGAGCAAATGTGATGACAACCAGCACTTAAAGTGTGTGACAGATGTAGTCATACCTGAAGTTAATTATGAAATGACCGGTTATTTCACGTGTCAGTACAACGACTCGTCCATTGGTGACAAGTCGGACACAATCTATGTCTTCGTGAACGGCAAGTATTCACTACTTTATAACTCTTATAGTAAATCCATTGTTCAAACACAGATCCGGAATATCTGATTGTTCCCTATGAGGGAAGCTATGACTTCATGTTCATCGTAGTATTCCAGTCCCAACCGGCTACCATTCCCTGCAAACCTACCGATTCCCGAGCTAAGGTCTCGCTGTGGAAAGTGCACACCAACTCTGGTCCACAAGAGATTGTTGTCAATAATACTCTGGGAATCACCTATAACTCGAAGAAAGGCTATCACTTTGAATACCCGCTTTGGGACGGGGAGACCAGTCTTTTGGAGTGTAAAGTGGAGTTAGACAACACCGAAATGATATCATCCATAAGCATTCATATTGGATGTGGTTAGTGAGTCCTTGATCCTAATTATCTCGTTAATATAAATATTTTCAACATGTCTTTTAATTTAATTTTTATCTACACTATTGATAATAACGTCAAATTAGTTGAATCTATAATTTAATTTATATCTATAATATGAACAATAATTTAATTTCAAACTTTCCATAATTAGAGAAATATTTGACGAAATAAAATTAAATTCTATATTTTTGTTTTTTCTATAAACTCTGCTAATTTACATTAATTTAAATTTATATATATATATATATGATAGTAATATATATGATATATTACTAATATAATATATTATGCAAATCTGACCTTTAAAGATGTGGGTTAAAACTTACAGAATAAACTAAACTAAAGGCATAGTATTAAATATGGAATAGAGTATACTGTACTAGTATAGAGTAGTAATACAAAATAAACAATGTAGGATAATACGGATTGTAGTTACTAGAATAAATAATGAAATTTTTTTATGAATTGGATAATAGTATTTCCGGTGGATCCGCATCCTCTTATCGATGACAGTAGAGCTAAAAATGTGTTCATAAACAGCACTTTCAGTTTAAAATGTTTTGTTCACATTGAACTCGGAATTAAAATTGTGATTACGTGGGACGTCCCTAATAAAAATGTATGACATTTGTTCTCTTTTTATAAATTATTAATTAATGTCTACTAAACGATATTCAAATGATTAGACTTTAGAAAGATCTGTGGAATCGATGGCTGAAACTCAGAGAAATGAATTGAATGGTAATAGTTATGATACGGTGTCTCGGAATCTGACCATAACTGGGGCACAGATGGAGGACGAAGGCATATATCACTGCAATGTCACGGATAGCAACGGAAGAGTGTTCAGTGCTTCCAAGAAAGTCACGGTTTACGGTATTTGTCTTATTTTTATCAGTAATTAATACCGGTATTAGTTTTATAAATGAATATACATGTAGAATTACTTTGTACCATGGAATAATAAGTAAGCCCTTTAATAGTTATATAAAATGTATTCACAGAGAATGGTCTACCCCCGTCATATGTAAACTTTTCAATGGATATTAATAATGATGCCATAAACGGATTCTCAATCATATCATCAACAGATGAGCCCACAGTTCGCGACGACATAACCCTTACCTGTAAGGCCAGTGTATATAACTATACAGAATTAAATTGGATTAGAAAACCATTGT